TGCATTTGATAGGCTGGTAGAGCAAACAACACAGATTTAATGAGAACCATTCTACTTCCTTTACTAAGGAATTTACCCTTTCAGGATGACAATCTCTTCTTGATTCTTTGAACCATTAGGTTGAAAGATAGTACTAGAGTGGATGAGTGGCACATCCAAGTACTTTCCTAGACTTGCGATAATTCCAATGCCCAATTTTACACTCATTTCCATTGCCCTGTTAAAATGAATATTCTTTGTTTGTGACTAGAGAAATTGCAAAATTGTAGTATAATTTGTCGCATCTCCTCAATCTGGTCATTTAAAGCTTCACCAAATAGGATTAGATCATCAGCAAAGAAAAAATGAGACACATATGGTCCCGCCGGTCTAATTTTATGATCAATTATCATAAAATTAATTTAATTTAATAAACCAATTATTTCAATTATCATAAATGAAGATAAATTAAAATAGAGTAACCGGATAAAGGTGAATTAAACAATCAGCTCTAAAATTTTGAAATAATAAACATGCAAATAAATAAATAAGACATTCGATAATTAATAATTACATAAGTAAAAGGATGTTAGCGAAATAATTTTTTTAGATGGAACAACAAAAACTATAATAATTAATTATGTAAATAATAATTTCACAAAATGGAAAAAGGAGGAGTGGGGAAAAAAAAAAAATCATCCCGAGGATATGTTTCTTTGATTGTGTTGGATGAAGTTACACGGTAATCCAAAGAAAACCCCAAAAAATGATAGATAGTCAACAAAATAGGAAAAAAGAATGGAAAAGGAGGAGCAAGAAATAAAACAATCAACAAGAGGGTTTGTTAGATGAAAATTAATGTGTTAATTAATGTAAGAGGACATGCCAATTATTTTTTAGAGTTAAAATGCATTTTTATCCTTAAAGGAGTATAGGCACCATGTATTAGTAAGTGGACATTATCTCCTAGACCATTCATTTTCTAGAGGAAAATCCCCTTCCATTAGCGATTTATTAATAATAAACAACTAATTACAACTATCCTTTTGATTTACTGAAATTTAAGTATTGTAAATTTATGAGAGAAACTTGGATAGAAAAAAACAACTACACAAAAAACTAATCAATTAAGTATTATAAAATAAACAAACCAAGATAAAAATAATAGAAACCTAAATAAATAAATACAAAGATAGAAAAAATATAGTTAGCATTAAGAAAAATAAATAACTATAACAGGAAAATATATAATAAGACATTCAATAATAAATAATTACTTAAATAAAAGCATGTTCGCAAAATAAATATTCAATTAATGCATACAGATGAAACAACAAAAACCATAATTAATTATGTAAATAATAACGAGGAGTGGGAAAACATACCAAAATTTTTTTAAATAATTAACATGCAAATAAACAAGACAATCAATAATCATTAACTACATAAATAAAATGATGTTAGCAAAATAAATATTCAAAAGAAACAACAAAAAAAACACAAAATAATTAATTATGTAAATAATAAAATGGCAAAGGAGGAGCGGGAAATAAAAATATCACCATGAGAATTTGTTCGATGAGAGGAAAAGAAAATTAATACTTATCTATAATTAAAATTCCTGGATTCATAATTTATTTAAATTAATATTTTCAACTTATTTTCAAAAATTGTCGGGACTTCACTAATATTAATTTACTGTTTTAAGTTTAACTGTCATTTTTCCCATTAAAACAATCTGTCTCAGTTGCAAATCAAAGCCAAGCTTTTACCCAAGGAGGAAGAAAATTCTAAATAAATATTAAAAATCATTTACATCATTTTAATAACATGAAAGAGAAGCAAGAATCGCAAGAGAAATTTGGATAGGAAAGAAAAAACTACAATTAATTTAATCAAGTAAGAATTATAAAATAAACAAACCAAGAAAAAAAAAGAAGAAATCGAGTCACAAATAAGACATTTAATTAACCAATTATTATAAAATAAATAAATAAATAATATAAAGATAAAAAAAAATATAGTTATCTATCACTAAGAAAAATAAATAACAAATTGAATCAAACAATTAATACAACATGAAAATAAATAAATAAGACAGTCAATAATAAATAATTACTTAAATAAAAGGATGTTAGCAAAATATAGTCGAACTTTAATGCATAAAGATGAAACGATAAAAACCATAATAATTAATTATGTAAATAATAAATTTATTAAAACGATAAAGGAGGAGGGAAAATAAAAACATACCATTAAATAATTAACATGCAAATAAATAAACAAGACAATCAAATCATAAGTAAAATAATGTTAGCAAAAAGATGAAAAAATAAAAGAGGCGCTTAAAACACAAGCTAGCCTACTCAAGTTTAGAGGAGAACAGAGAAGACTCAATATCACCTTCATACAATGGAGAATTGCACCCTACAACCACAAACATTCAACCAAGTAAGCAAATTACTATAAAGTAGACATATATGCTGAGCAATCAAAATAATCCCCATCACAATAATCTATACTTTTATGACAAAATGCAACATGAGACAATTGGAACACTATTACTTGTAGGCTTTTATAAATGCAACATAAATATCATGAAGTGAAGAGTAGCCAATAAAGTATACTAGTCACTCACATAATTAAAAAAAATTGAATAAAAAATAAACGGAAGGAAAGGGAAGCCTGGCTTAGGAGTAGAAAAGAAAGGAGAAAAGAAAAATTGAAAGAAACTTTAAAAGAAATAAATTACTAGCACTATTATTGCCTTCAGTAGAACATAAATGAAATCGAATGTCTAAATCATCTTTATACTTGACACAAGCATACATGCAGCCTCAATTAAGACACCAGCTTCCTCATTACTTGAGTACCATGTTTAATGAAAACAAAATAGGAAGAATGAATACAACATTTCAACATACACTTTGAGCTATAAATCATCTTCAACATCCTATTTTTCAATGAATATCATGCTCTTTTTTTACTAATTTGAGGCCATTTACTCCTAAATGCCATCAAAATATTAAAAAACAAAAGTACACGCATTTCACAAAGTACTTCCATAATAATGATCAATTTGAATTCTAGCAGAATCAATTTCACAATGCCAGGGCATCAAAATTTAGTTTATGTCAAAAATATAACATACTTTCTAATGAAAGACAAACAGCATGATCATGTCTGCACCTATATAGTGTTAAAAGTTTTCTACAGCAAATAGTCTTAAAAGTTCCTACCATAGTACATAACTGAACATCATATAGCCTAAAACTAGAACAACTTTTAAACATCACGTTAATACCTTGATCTATATTAACTCCTTCTAAACCAAAGCATCCATTAAATTGCAACATAAATTTTTAATTTTGTTAATAGTTTTATTTTCAAGAAAAACATAGCAGCATACTTGAAAAAACCACATGCTCTCCAAAACATATCCATATTTTCCTTCATGAGTGTGTTTGGATTTCAAATGATAAAATTTAATTATGAAAAATTATTTAATTATGCTCTAAGGATCTCAATGGCCCTTTAATTATTTTTATATTAAAAAGAAACACATAGTTGAAATTCTAAAAAAAAAAAGTTGAAAAGGCTGCATTCAAAATAGTTCCCAGGAATGAATTTCCTATACCCCACCCTCCAACTGTCAAATCCTCTTTTTGATGGAAGAATAGCAACCGTCATGATTTTTATATTTGAAAATATATTAATGAGATTTTAACATAGAACAACACAAGTTTATACCAATTTAAAAGGTTAATCTTAATTTCTTGTTTCACAAACCAGAACAAACAATGCCCAAATAACACAGAAAGATTATCTACAGCAATTATGAAAAAAGTATTGCATCAATATGTCTCTTCCTTCATGAATTAGACCACTTCATTTGTTACAAATATCTGTTTAGGCCATGCAACGCAATCGGAGAAGTAAAGATCTCTCAAAGGTGATATAAACAAGAATAAGGCGCACTTTCTAGCAAAATAAAAGGACCAAAATAATAAAATTCAATCCAAGCCAGCCAAAATGATCAAGACTTATCTATAGCAAAAGAGACTCCAACCAACATAGAATTTCACCCGTAGTTTGCTAAGAAATCTCCATAACAGTCACAAAACATAATTGGACACATCAAACTGCTAAAAACCAAAACAACTATTAAAAATTAACTCAGGGTCGAAATGAGCACCTTCTTAACTTTTTTTATTGGTTGAAAACAAATAGTTCTATTAACTGAAAACAAAGCAGCCTATATCTGGGAAACAAAACAACAGAAAACATACCAAACAAAAAAAAAAAAAAACCAGCAAACATAACAAACAAGCCGCAGAAAAATTAACCATTGGCCATCCTGCAACAGCGGTTAGAAAAGAAAGTAAACAGAGTCATATTTCCAAAACCCACTCCAAAAAGCGCGCTTCCTATGACAAGCATAAGTTGCAGGATGATTGCAAATTTATTAAATAATTAACATGAAAATAAATAAATGAGATTCGATGATCAATAATCAATAATTACATAAATAAAAAGATGTTGGCAAAAAAAAATATTCAAATTTTTTCATCAATAAGGTAGGATAATAAAAAATAAAATAATTAATTTTTTAGAAAAATATATTTAGTAAATGGCAAAGGAGAAGCACCAAAATAAAACAGGGCAAAAGTATTAGATGAAAATAAAGGAGGAGGAGAAAAATAATAAAATAAATTTCAAAATCAGCCAAAAAAATTAAAACAAGTTAATTAAATCAATCAACTTTTATAAAATAAATCAAGATTTAAATAGAAGAAATAGTGTTACCACTAAGGAATTGAAGATAAAAATTGAATTAAACATTCAAAATGAAATTGTTTACATAACTAACATGCAAATTACTGACAAGACATTGCATATGAAAGCTACATGAAATTAGTGAATAATCAATAATTACACAAATAAAAAGAAATGGCATATGAAATGACAACATATTGCATAATATGTAAATGAATGTTACATAACTTACACAAGTAACTTACAGAGGTGTTTCGTGTTTCAATCTGCATTATCAAATTCAAGCTTTTACAAATCAGTATGAGTGAGAATGAGCCCAAAAAGAAAAAAAAAACAAGAGTTAAAATAACAGATAGTCAATCAAATAGGTAGAATGGAATATTCCTGAAGCTGAACAATAATAATTTTATTCAAAAATTGGATAATAATTCTAATTAAATAAAATTAGTAAAATATTGAATTAAAATAACTACTCATTTAAATATGAAAGTTAATACAAAGAAAAATATTTGCATCAGAATATATATATATATTTGCACACCAAGAAAAATCTTTTGGAGATAAAATATGACTCTTATTAATTCCCCCCACACTTCTACTTTTACACTTCGATCAAAATCATTTCAAAAATAGAATCAAAAGACAAAGGAAAGAATGACAATTAGAAAACAAAGTAGTAGAAGTTGCAAGCTCAAATGACGTGGACCTTTCATCAATCAACTATCCATTTGATTACCAAGAAGCAAAGAGGTTAAGTCCATGATGCAAGCCTTTAGCAAGAATGAATCAAACCAAATAGCCACACAAGGGATAGTGTTTACACTCATCTCACAAGTGTATAGGATCATTTCACTCAAGTCCACTTATCTAATCACTCTATAGGCTTGTCAATGTTCTAAATCTCCACTATCTAGTAGCAAATGCACATGTGAATCAAAAGGTCTTTTCCAAGGTTGTAATGTAGGTATGAAAGAGGGAGTAAGAATGCATGTAGAAAGGAATGGGAAATATATTTATACCAATCAAGACAAATGGATTCCAAAGGCATAAGCAAGTCTCAAGGAGTGAACTCATACAATACAATAACACATGGTAGCAAGGTGATTTTAATACTCAAGCAACAACTTTTTTTTATTCTATTTTTTATTGACTTCAATTTTCTTTCTTCCTTTTTTTCTTTCTTTCTTTTTCACATTGCATGTTTTCTCCCTTCTTGTTTTTCTTTCCCTCAATTTGGATTTCTTTTCTTTTCTTTTGTACTTCTTTTGCTTTGTTGTTTTTTTTTCTTTTTTCTCTTTTGGTTTTCTTTTGCATTGTTGTTGCATACAACTCTTTGCCTTCACACTTGCACCTTTACCACATCCATAAACATATAACAAGAATTTCACAACTTGAATCCTAGATATGCCAATGGATCCCAAGCAATACAATACGAGACATCATGCCTTCTTAGAGAAATTAAGGGTATCATGTATGATGAAAGAAAAAATATAGACTAGTAGGCTCAAAAGGGCTAGCAAGGGATTCAATCATCATTAAGGTTGGCCTTTTGGCTAAGCTAGTTATTTTATGTGAATGCCTTAATCATCCTCACAATGCAAAAGCAAATGTAGTCTTGAAAAAGAATATAGACAAGTTCTAGAGGATGAGTTAGAATAAGTGGACAATTGCACACTAGAAAGGAATTATAGAGGCTCAAAGTATACTTCCAACATAGGCAATGCTATCCCATTCAATTTACTTCAAGCTAAAAAATAGATCACTTCCTTAAACACAATGCAAAGTGGTAATCTCTTTTCAAGAATCAAGAGTCTAGGTCAAGGTCAATCCAAGTAATGCAACTTCAAACTAAAAAGAAAACAAAACAAAATTTTTTTATGTTCCAAAACATTTTTCAAAGAACCAACACAAATCAAAACTCTTATCAGTACCTTCCCCACACATAAATATTGCATTGTCCTCAATGCAAACCCAAACTAAGGAAAAATCCAAGGAAATCATGAAAGTACCAATGAGAAAGTGAGAGGAAAAGAAGTTTTTAAAAAATCTGAAAAATTATGAAAAACAATTCTAGAAAAAAATTTGTTTTTCTCAAAATAGAACAAAAACTAAAACATGAAAATATAACTTTTTCTACTAGAAAATCTCCCTCATACTTGCAATCAACTCTATCCACTAATCAATATCAATCAACAAGCATAATGGAAAGGCATGAAAAGTAAGAAATGGAAGAGATAAACCTATCATGGAGGATCATCAAGGAGAGGCTGAGGTGGAGAAATAATGTTGGCAACTTCAAATGTTGATTGTATGGCACATGTAGAAGCTCCAAGAAGAGGTTATGTGTCTCAAAACAAATAATAATAATAACAGATGCAACTAATTAGCAAATTAAAAAAATAAATAATTGATATATAACTAACATCTAGATCAAAGAAAATAATAATAATAATAATAATAATAATAATAATAATATTCTCTCAAATAGTAGGTCACTTTTTCACAATAAAAAAAATTGTGGCTAGGATTCATGGATCAAAAGATGTAACGCAGCTTCATCTAAAGGTTCAGTTAACAAGAGCACAATCATAAGTAAATGCAAGAAAATGGAATAAATCAATAAATATACAAATAAATAATTGTCTAAATAACTAACAAACAAGCAAATTAATCCTAAAAATTAATTAAGTAAAAGAAATAAAAGAGGTGTTTTAAAACACACGCTAGCCTACTCAAGTTTAGAGAAGAAGAGAGAAGACTCCATATCATCTTCATGCAATGGAGAATTGCACCTTACAACCACAAACATTCAACCAAGTAAGCAAATTACTATAAAGTAGACATTTATACGGAGCAATCAAAATAATCTATACTTAGAAGAACATATTAAATAGATGACAAAATGCGACATGAGACAATTGAAACACTATTACCTGCAAGCTTTAATAAATGCAGCATAAATACCATGAAGTGAAGAGTAGCCAATAACATTTATTAGTCAATAACATAATAAAAAACAAACTGATACAAATTGAATAAAGAATAAACGGAAGAAAAGGCTGGCCTGGCTTAGGAGTAGAAAAGAAAGAAGAGATGAAAAATGAAAGAAACCTTAAAAGAAATAAATTACTAGCACAACTATTGGCTTCACTAGAACATAAAGGAAAGGCCTCAATCATCTTTATACTTGACACAAGCACACACACGTGGCCTCAATTAAGACACCGACTTCCTCATCAAGCACTTGAGTGCCACATGATTAATAAAAACAAAAATCTTAGCATCCAAAAGATAAGAATAGATCAAGGATGGCTTTAAACATGACAACATTCCAACATACACTTTGAGCTATGAATCATCTTCAACATCCCACTTTTCAACAAATATCGTGCCCTTTTTGTTCTAGTTTGTACTAATTTGAGGCCATTTACTCCTAAATGCCATAAAAAAAAAACAAGAACATACACATTTCACAATCCAAATACTTTCATAATAATGATCTTACCTTTTTTTTTAATCCATTTTAATTCCAGCAGCAGAATCAATTCCACAATGTTTGGGCGTTGAAATTTAGTTTATGTTAAAAATATAACATACTTTATAGTAAAAGAAGAGATTCAAATAGCATGATCATGTCTACACCTATACCTCAATGTACAATAATTTTCTACAACAAATGGTCTTAAAAGTTCCTACCATAGTATGTCACTTCCCGAATTTTTAAAGTGTGATCGGCTGGAATATAAGAAAGCTCATATTCCATAAGTCTAAAACCTTAACAAGTCTAACATATTAATTTAAATTTTTTCATACAGTCATCATCTATATTAAGCAATTATTAATGGGAACAAAATACTTAAGCTAGCTATAGAAATTTCAGTAGAGTCTCTGCTGTAAGTTGGACTTCTCGAAATCTCTACAACCTGCCAAAAGGCACATCCAAGCACATTCAGAATTCTACTCCAATACAATATATACAAACCAAAATAATTTAACTGAAGATCCTGCCTATATGATTTGTGGAGTGATTCTAAAACAAAAATAGAATGTTTAAATATTTACATTAATCCATTATAATTGAAGCAACACAATACTTCTTGTCTCAAGGAGTCCCACGAGATTTACTAAAATGCAGGTTCACATCTACTATCTAAATATAAATTTTTTTTTAGTAAATAACATCCCCAAATAATAAGTAAATAAATAATGGTAGTCATAAACAATAAATTAAAAATATATCTTTTGTATAAAACAAATCATAAAAATATAGTTCTTAAGAGTGAAAAATAACTTGAAAAAAAAACTTGTTTTCTATTAAGACTGAATAGAACGAATAACAGGTGTGGACACACAGTCCATGAAGGTAAGTAACATCCGGCGTGGCTAGAAATCATGAAAAACAGGTGCAAGCATAAAGTTCACGAATAACAAGAGTGGATTAAATTCACAAAATTCCATCCTCCCTTCCACATGTGGTGGCCGACACACGGGGCTAGCACCTCTAATATACCTTGCTGGTTGGGTGTGTCATGACGCACCGAGGGCTAACAAAACTATCATTAGCAACCAACATTTTGTATTTGGTCTTATAAAACATTTCCGACATGCATGGAATCTAAAAATCCTTATAGTTCAAATTGTATTTTAATTTGTAAAGTACAAATAATCCTTTCATTAGTAATTCATCCAATCCACAGGAAAATAAAATACCATGAAAATAACTACATAAACCAATTCAAAGAATGAATAAGATATCTATATACATTATGTCAACTTAATCAATGAGGTACATTAAGAAAATTTGTTTAGAATAGAAGAAAAATAAAATAAAATAAAATAAAATAAAATAAATAAAGAGACCATTACTTTTGTTTATTGATAAATGTTATTTACTTATCTGGCTTATCTTCCAGTTCCAAAATTCTCTCTTTATAGTTTCAATTAAGTTTTCTCTTCTTGTAATGATCCTATCAAATATAATAAAATTTCAATAAACTTCCCATAGCCTTAAATAAACTTTTTCCAAAATCATTACCATTTATATATCTCAAAGTGTCTCTGTTTACTTTCAGCCACAAATAATTACCCAATAATATCAAATACCAATATTTGAATAACTATATTTCATCCACAGTCAAGAATTCAATGAATTCTAAAAAAAAAAAATCAAGTTCAATTTCTTCTAACAAATGTTTTGTCAAACACCTTTCGTGCAGTAATTCTCAAGCTTTGATCAAACATATTTTCTTCAAATTTTATTTTCCCACACTTTTCTAAAATCTATATTGAAGTAATCCAACCTTCCAATTACAAGCATTCAACATACGAAATTTTAAACTCAAGGAATATTGAATTTATCCACCTTCAACAAACATACAATACTAAAATATCAATCAGAACCAAATTTCTCTTCATTGCCTGTACAAGCACAGTACCACAAGGGAGATTAAATTACAAATAATTTAAACATTCACACCATACATGCTGAGCAAGAGGGAAGAGGCTTGAAGCTTCCTCACCTTAAGGCACAAATGATGAAGATAAGAGAAGGAGAAGTTGATGTTTATGGCTGAACAGGGGAAGAGTTTTTGGCACGACACAACAATAGCAGAAGAACAAAACAACACCAAGAAGCAGAAGGAACCACGTGCAGCACCTCCACTCAAATGATTTAGCTCGCGCACGTCAACTTACACCCACCAGCATCAGCGCAGAACAGAGAAGCAGTAGAGGAAAATTTCCAGCGACGGAAACGAACCAGCAACAAAAACGAACTAGCGACAGCAATGGATTAGTGAAGGTTGGAAACAGACCCACGGTGTGAAGAAGAACAAGTGGATGGCGAGAAGAAAAGAGACTTGACGGAAGAAGGAGAGGAGCCGAAGGAATGAAAATGAATTCTATATCCCTCTCTGTGCGTAATATATGACTGAAAGGGAAAGAAAATTCTGGACAAAGAACCATGGGAAAAACACAAAACAAGACCTAATGTTGTTTGGAAAAAATTCAAAACGATACCCCACAGATTTTTTTCATCATAATATTGTTAATAATAAAAGATATAAGAAAACTTTAATAATTTTCATATAAAAATAAAATTAATATTTGGCTTAAGTAAGATTCAAATTCTAGACCTCCATATAAGTAACTAATATAAATTCTATTAGACCTTTACTCCTCATGTGCTATAACTAAAATAATTAAATAAAATATCAATAGAAAAGAAAAATTCATTTAATTTAAATATTTGGGTCATTACAATATAATTGAACAGAAAATACTTAAAACTAGAACAACTCTTGAACGTTAATACCTTGACCTATATTAACTCCTTCTAAACCAAAGCATCCATTAAATCACAACATAAAATTTCAATATTAACAGTCTCATTTTCAAGAAAAACTATAGCAGAATACTTGAAAAAAACCACATGCTCTCCAAAACATATCCAGATTTTCCTTCATGATTTTAACATATTAAAGTGAGACATACTTGGATTCAGTACTGCATGGTTAAAATTGATATCATTGCGCTGCTTCCAAATTACCCATAATATCCAACAAAGGGATGTCACTTCATAGTCAGAGAAGTTATTCTTTGACTACAGAATATTCAACCAGCAACCTCAAAACTAGCGAGCAAATTCTTAACCAAAGTCTCATTTTCAAGCAAAAAATAGTAGCAACGTACTGAAATATTTGATAAAGTCTCTAATGTGTATTATCCTAAGAGCAAAAAGTTATCTTGATATGCATGACACAAATTAACAGATGATAAAAGAAATAATATTGGAAAGACTCATGTATACTGATTATTACCACAATCATTATTTTTCACCCAACTATTTCAACAATTGAATTCATAATAACGTACTAAAATTTATCTAAAAGAAAAAAAATATAATTATGCTAACTTTTGAGATATAATATATATATCCTTCTAATAAAATACGTCTTCTAGATGTATACTTGTTTGCATTTTTTTCCTTTGCCTGTGTTGAAATGACTTATGTTAATTTAGCTTAATTTAACAATTAAAAATTGATTTTAAGACATTAAAAATATTTCAATCAAATTAAATCAAATATTCAAAAGCAAAAGGTTCATTTATCCAATCTGTACTTTCAATGTCATTTGAGCTTTAGCACTGCAGACATTTACATAGGAAGTCCAATGTGTATCAACCCTAGAGAGAAGAGTTTTGCAAAGACGACCACAAGGTAAAAAAGAGATGCATTCTTTTTTTAGTTTTCTGTTAAATGTCAGCTTTAAAGATAAAGAAGATCAATGTTAACCACAAGTTCAATGCGTATGTTCAAAGTTCAAACCCACAAGATTTGTTGTAATGGCTACTAGAAAACATGCAAAAAATTAGCACAGATAAACTGATAAAGAAATTTTGATGCTACAAACAAATTCAGGAATTGAAACATATCTTTTTGATTCTCTCTTTTCCGTCAAGTCTTAGCCCACAATAAAGTTAGAGTAAATCAACAAACCTGGAGAGTGAAGGCGATTCATGCGAAGAAGCTTGCTTTCATTCGCTTGAAGCCAAGTCAAGCTGTCCGTTGGCATTTTTCAAGATTATTACGTAAGAAAAGATCTTGCGTGCTCTTGGATTTTTGAAGTGTCCTGTCCTGTCATTGGAATTAAAAAGTAATTAAAGGGAAACACGCCAAGGCATGATAAGCGAGATTTTTTCTTTTGAAAAAGCAATTAAAGGCTAATATATCATATTGTCCATTATTAATGGAGGACAAAAGGAGTGCTGCAAAACACACAGGAAAGATTCAGTCATCTTAACCTCCACAAACGAGGAAGCATTACATAAAGTGGGGGAATTTTCCACCGAATACTCTAAAAACACAGAAGAGAAGGAATGAGAGAGCAAAGTAGAAACGAGTACAGATCCTGGGTTTTGCAGGTTGTAATGTTATGGGAAAGATACCCAATAGCAGGAAACGAGCTAGAGAGTTTGAAAGTGAAGTGACTTACCGCCCAGAAGGGCCGAGAAGGGATGTTTCGAGTGATGTCAAGCCAGAGCAGGAAGTAACCAGCAAAATTCTGAAGAGCCCCGACGATCAGAACTTGAGAGATGGGCGCAATCTGACTGAGTTTGCCGGCCACAAATCCGATATCGTTACCCAAGTCCTTGGCCACTGCTAAGAGAGCCGGATTTGCAAATGACTGAACCCACATCGAACCCACGTCAAATTTGTAAGGCGAGGACAGCAGTCTCGCTGAGGGGAAGAGACGAATGCCATTAAAGGACTCGTGGAGGGAATGAGAGGGTGAATGAGTTGTAGAGATTAAGTGAGGTTGAACAGATATTCTGAGTGACAAATGGAACAGAGGAGGAATGGGGTTTGTGATAGGTGGGTTTCTGAGCGAGAGTCAAACTGAGAAGGAAGGAAGGCATTTAGGTGAACCGCGAGAAAATAGACTACATGGGTCTTTGATAACGACGGCGGAGGGAATCGACGGAGACAACTGATAAAGGTCGACGGAAGGACATGTTCGAGCTTGAGTGAAGGCTATGGCTCTTGAACAACAGCGGGATTTGCATCAAAGGAGATTGAGTGAAGGCACTTCTTTGTTGGTGGAGGGACTCATGGAGGTTGACAACGAAAACGAACGGGTATCTCAATGGGAACTGAGGCGGCGTCTGCGTTTGCAAGGAAGGAGCTGAGGTGGTCCCCATTGTACAGGGTTAGAATGTTATGTTTGTTCGCGAGAATGGATTCCTTGCCAAGTCTCTTCGGAGGTTGTGACCTACTTGCATTAATTCGAGTAACGGCTTACCCTCCAAGGTTGCGTGTTAAGCCACGTTAATTGAAATTTGAAATTCTGGGAGAGCCTTTTTTTTTTTTTAAATTTACTTTATAAAATGCTGTGATTAAACTCACCGTGATGGTTGATTATTAATTAATGTTAATTATTAATATTAATTAATTGGTTAATTTTTAATAGATACCAGATTTGATAATAATTTTATTGCAATTAATTCTATTCTTTAATTCAAAGTTAAAATCTTTTTTAAATATATTTTAACTTGTACATGAAGCATAGGTCCTTTAACACGTGAATAAAAAAATGTAACATATAAATATGAGTAGGTTGTTCACTAATTGTTTATTAAAACAGACATTTTTTTTTTTATAATCAGCTTGTGGCGTTTAGTTAAAAATATTTAATTTTGATTATCATTGGCATTAGTTATCAATTATCAACTATCAATCAATTACTTATTAACGATAATATTATCAACTATACTATACAAATCTGATGGATTTTCAATCTTGTTAGTAAGTTTGCTTTCTTTCAGTTGATGCACTTTAGGTTAATTTTAGTTCTCCTCTCTTATTTGGCTAGACAACGTTGGTTTAAGGAAAATTTGTGTTCTCATTACTTTATTGTCTTGTGTTTATATGGTATTATGCATCATGCCCCTTTGTTTTTCTAATTTGATATGATTGCTGTTTTCATATGAGTATTAACTTGCATTGTCATCTTAATGATGGTTTATGTAATATTCACTTTGACATTATTAATAATTACAAGAAAACAAAACACATCATGGTAAATAGGAATCATTAAATTCCTCATAAATTACCTTAATCAAGAAGGGCTATGAACTTCTAAAGTCTTAAAAACATTTGAGATTTTAAAAACTCTTCAAAATGATAGTTTGAGTTGAAATTAAAAGCATGTTGAAATATATGGAGCATAGAAGGACATAGGGAAAACAAAACACAAGAAAGTAGAAGCAGTACTTTCTGACACATTTACCATGACATTGTTGCTCTATTTTTTTTTTTTTGTGTACCAAATTCTATATTTGTCTTCCACAATTTTTGTTTGATTGATTTTTAGATTTTTGAGTTCATATTGATTTCTGGATTCTCCTATGAAGAGCAGAAGATGAAGTTTAAAGAATGAAAGAAGAACATATGAGGGACATAATGGAACTCCTACTGTTTTTTTTTTCTTTTCTAGGCTTAATTCATGTATACCAAGCAAAAATTACATTTTAAATTCTACCTATTTCTTTTTCTATCATACCAAATGTTATTTTAACCCTATTTCTATTTCCTTTTCCTTTTCCAAATCCCTTTCCGTTTCCTTTTCTATCAAAATGCTTTCAGTGAATCAAACTAAGCCTTAGTTATTTGTATAGGCCTAAAACCAATCTAATTAAGAAATCAAATTATTTGCATAGGCCTAAAACCAATCTAATTAAGAAATCAAATTATTTGCATAGGCCTAAAACCAAACTTATGCTTGTCTGTTTCCAAGGACCAGTACATTTTCACATGATTTTTTTTTTCCCGAATATATTTTCAAACTTTAAGTCTATAGGTCCTCCTTGTCTTAAATCAATTTCATCACGTTTATATCCATCGAAATAGTGAACAACGTTCTGTAAAAGCTTCTCTTTACATACGCATAGCTTTCTTATAAACATACAACTAACTTAGGCAAATTTGATAGCAAATTAATAAGCAAATAACACTGCCAAGTAGAAACAAAATCAGTGGAATTTAGCAAATTAGAGACTGTCAAGAATTAGACCTAACAGAAATAATTCTTCTTGCAGGATGAGGGGACTTTTTCAAATAAGAGGAATTCCATTCCCCACCATCTTGAGCATAATAATCCATTGGATAATCTCCACCAAAATCTTCATTTGCATCTACACAGTTACAGTCACTGCATGATGAATCATTTTCACAACCATGATTTTTCGCCACAGTTTTCTCCCACCAACCTGGTATAATTCCTAGCGCAATTTCTGCCTCAAAAGGAGTCAAAACTGGTTTCACAAAAGCATCTCCCCACTCGATCGATAATCGAGGACAAGCGATTTGAATCCATGCATCTATAGAGTCTTCAAACAAAGAGATTCTAGCTGGACTCAACTCTGACATTAAAATTACTGTATAATTGAAGCCCTTCTCCTTCAACTTCTTTTCCAATCTCTCCAAAATCTTTGGATTCCATTGTCGACCTAAAGTTCCCAGAACTACACCCCAATTCTGAGCCTGCCTTGATTGTGCAATTGCACTCTTCCTTGATTGTTTCATGCCCAAGTGATCATATTCCTCTAGAAACAATTTCCCAAAATATGGGTCATATCTGAAAGTCTTAATTCTGGGATTTGCTATCATAAATGCCTGGAGGTGAAATCTTCCATCAGCTACGAACACTCCCACAGATTCACTCTCGCCACCGAATGAGTTTGATGAAACCTTGGGCGCTGTGCAGCCATGAACCTCGCCAGTTGACAGTGGCTTGGACTGTGGAATCAAAACCTTGAACCCATATTTCCCTAACTCAGGTTTTGCTGCCCGGATTGCGGAGGCCAACTGTATTGTACAAGCACGGACGAGGATTTTGACACTAGATTGAAGATTTAGTCTGATAGTATCAATCATGTGATCAACATTGATTTTAATATCAACTAAGACGTATAGGCAGGGAATTGTAGTGGAATCAATGGGTACAAGGCAGCTGTGACCATAATGTATCAAGAGATCAGCACTAAGTGCTTTAGCAGACAAGTAATCTACACAACAAGCTACATAGGTGACATCGCCAAGAATAAAGCATTGAGAGGCACTAGCAAAAGTAGTAAAGATATCAGATAGGACAAGGGAGTACATGAGAAGGCCCTCAGGAAATTGTCGGGCAATTTGCCTGGCTCCAGTTGACTTCACATGCCAAACACATTTGTGCACCTCAAAATTGTAGTTTGAGGGGAGAAGTGATATGGCAGCATTGAGAGCTGAGTCATTAAAATCGAAGCTGGGATTTGGGTTTTAATAAAACGCTTTGGTGTAGGCTTTGGCCTACTAGGATTAGGTTCTTGAGATGGATGGCAAGCTTGCTTGGGTTGCTCCAACTCCATGGACGAGCTGCAATAAAAAATGTTTGCAACCCTCAAGCTTCTTTTAACTCTCCAAATACTTTGATTTGTTCGGATTGCTCTGCCTTTCTGTGTCTGTAAGTCACTATGAGAATTGAGAAATAATTACAAAACTTGGACTTGTAAATCAAAACCTAGAAATATTTTGAAATTAAGCAATAGAAGGAAGAACTTTTAGTAGTAAAAAAATAAAATAGAGGGCCGAAGAAACAAAAGACTATTATATGGAACCAGTACGGTTCATAGAAGATTGTGCTTTACTCTGGCAAAATGTCATAAAATAAGAGAATATGGAACGATATCCTTCTAATATGGTGCATGAGGAATAGTCAAATATTTCATCAGACTAAAATTATTAACTAATGCTTGCCTTATGCTAAAGCTATCATCAAACTCAGGAAATAATCCAATTACCAATTTATGTCTGAATTCTGATAAACTCCACAATTGATAGATACATTAATGCATCTGGGTTTTAAATTTTTAATCATTTTCCTCTAGTCTAGATTATTCCCATTATTTATTACTTGAGACTGAAAAACAGAAAAAATAGCATAAAACAAGTCCAGTGAAATTCAGATTTGTCATTCCAATCTAACAAAATACATCCAATGCATTTGAGTTTCAAAGCAAGCACTTCATGATGAAATTTTAACAACAAGATGCGTAATGTTCTCTAATATAGCGGATACAATTTCACTAAAAGTTTACACTTTAGATTTGCAACATGCATCTAATGCATTGGTCGGACTTGAAGATTTTAGAACTTGACGACGAAGAGAAAACAAATAATTAAAAACAAGATTGGATTTTTTTCCTTCTCTCTTTGCAAGCTTACAAAAAATAACTTGCTTAAGGTATTGACCATTAAATATTAACTTCCATTGTGAACTGAACATATGCAATTTAGAAAAGCAAAATGAAGCAATAGTGGCACAAAAACCACTCTCTAAACAAAGTTCTCTGTTTATTCTCTAATTTGATACCTTTACAAAGGAAATGACACAACTATTTATACTAAACCTTAGACCCAAAGACTTAAATGCTGAAGAGGGAGTTTCAGCTGTTACATGAGTGTTTATTAGCCTAGGAGAGTTATAGAAAATTATGGCATTCAAGGTTATCAATGAGGAGTTATGTTCAAGCTTCCTTACATTCAGGCTTATGTTTCATCTTCCCCGTGTTCGACAGAACTTGCCCTCAAGTCAAATTCGGCATTATCGTCAATGTAAGGGGATAGATCAGCAACATTGAAGGTGGTAGATACATCATAAGAACCAAGTAATTCCACCTTGTAAGCATTGTTGTTGATCCTTTGCATTATCTTGAACGAACTATCAGCTCTTGGGGACAACTTGGCGTTTGGCTGTTTAGGAAAT